ATCACGAACATCACATCTGCACTTAATGGAACCCCTAGATTCTGCGTCGATCCGCTATATCACCCTCACCATGCACTGTTGTCGAAGTCAAGTGAAAAAATGTCTAACTCGAGTGAAAAACACTGTAGAAGGTAACAATGCTCCCTGATTTAATTCCCTGTGTTTCATCTTCAGACAAAGAAAAAGCTTGCTTCCATTCATTTAGGTTACAATCCATTCCTAAAACCAAGAAAAAGCATTTAATAAATTGAGTTTGGATACATTCCTAGCCTTAGTGTTCTTGGGATCACGCCAGAAGTTGCATAGTGAATTAAATTATGCGGCGATTCCAGTGGCCCCATGGTGCCGCAGCACCTCAACGTGCAACGTTGTCTTGGTCTGCAGGTTTCTAGAATCTCTAATCCATGGAAGAGATTTAAGTGCCTTCCCCCGTTTTCGTGCGTCTGTGCTCTGAGCCACGACGTCGAACGTTTTGGGAATGTCAAAAGACAAAAAGAAAATTCATCCATCAAATGAAAAGGCTTCAAGCGTTCCGACCATAGGATCTCCATAAGGAAATTATTTTTCGGATTCGTATTCCCGGCATCCGTTGTCCTTGAATCACTTGGCTTCGCATGCTTTAAATACGATGGCAATTGGCATTGGCAATGGTACTTCAGATAACAGGTGTGTCAGTGTTCAAAGTAGATAAGATAAGCTGAAGTCAAATAATATTACTTAGTATCTCTTCTCGGTGAGACGAACATGTTTGAGCGTTCTATATCACTCATTCCTTTGTCAGTATGACGGTAAGTTTCCCCTCCCCCCTGCTCTCGCCTTACTTCATTTTACTGTTTTAAATTCTGTTGAGAAAATGAAAACGGCACCCTGCAGGGCAAGAACTTAAATTTCTAGTCTTTTTTGTGGTTTATGTGCAGCCAAGGGGAAAATATAGTGCCTGGATAATACTAGGATCTCACCGAGGATTTTGCATAATGCCTTCGTCATGGCTCCTATTACACTGTTTCAAGAGAGCCAATTTTCTATCTGGATGTTGAGTACAGAAATTACGTTTTTGCTCTGCTCTGAAGGTTCAGTGGAAGAGGATTTACAGGCAACTTTTGTCCAACTGCGAAAAAAAAAACAAGGACAATGACCATATCCTATGAATCAGACGGGCAGCTGAGCGACTTTTATATCCATCCGACATTACAGAATGAAGCCCAGACAATACATTTCAAGAGTCCCTTTCCGGGATGTAAATTTTCTTTTTTTTTTCGTGCTCTTGGAAAAAATCCTACTCGGGTGGATCGGATGGGAGAGTTTGCCACTTCCGTTGAAATGCTGGGCCTTGGAGCGATCGAATCAAGGCGTACTTCATCCTCTCACTTTCTTCGAGGACTTTGCATGGAGCGGACACCGGAATCGCAAGGTTCCCGTCCGAATTTCAGGTTTGAATCATTCGGCGTCGAGCGATGGTGCTGCGGTGACGATGAGATAGCTACTCGGGATGATGTACAAAGATTTTTATGGAGTTTTCTAAGAGGTCTCACATGTTTTTCGTTATACATGCCAGCGTGACTTATCTGGTCGGGATTGTGGACTTTTATGGACTCGCTCCATTTCCTCAATTGAGCGAGTCCATAAAATTCAATAGGCTTTTGGTAATGCCCATTACCTTTCCTCAACCCCTTCCTGTAACAAAAATCCAATCTCCTCGCAATCCTCTCTGAGAGCATAAACAGGAACGAAATTGAGCATATTTCTCCCTCTCTCAACTCAGGATCGCACCTACAAATTTGAAGCTCCATCTCCCCGGGGTTGTAGAGAACACTCCATCTCGCTTCAGCAAGATGTGAATTTCATTCCTTTTTTTTCTCTCGCCCCTGGACACTCCCTGAGGAATTTTTGGAGGAAAGAGACCAACAAAAAGAAAAATATTTACTCGTAGATCACGAAGATACGCACTTTTTTGTTCACGATGCACAATTTCGTCATTGTAAAAAATGAAATTAACCATCGTTCGCTTACATTCATAGCGCTGACTCCAGTCCCGTCCCCCAGTGTTGCCGGATATTATGCCGGAGTTGTCAGATTCATGACTGCATCGGCCTTCACAGTATCTGCATCTTCTGATTTTTAATGCATGAGACATTTTTCTGGCGAGTTCATGAGATGAGCTGAGATTAAAACGGTGGTTAGCAGTGGCCGATTTGTAGTGGGACATAGAGATATCTTACCCGAACATCCCTGAATTAACAGGATGACGCCCAGCTTGTAATTCAACTGAGCGATTTGGAAAGGAATGCACCGTCCAATGGGAGCCTTCCTTGTGGAGACGTCACTTCAACCATGATGGCGCTGTTCTATACTTCGTATCCACGAGCACATGGTTGCTCGAATGTGTCCCGCTCAAGGCAGAGCCCTTCAGTAGGTCTCGCTGTGATTTGCAGGAAGTTCCGCTAAATATCCTGGACGATCTACATCGAAAACCTGATCAATCGTCGCCTGTCTAAAGGTACGAGCAAGGAATAGGACGTATACCTAACATCATTAGGGTCTTCGTCACCTTTCTCGAAGAACTTGGAGACAACATGCCATGAAGGCCTATTTTATAACAAATTGAGGGTATAGTGGCACGAAGATTTTCAGCCAAGATGCTTGTCCCTCAAAGCAAATCGAATTCAGAAACTCTATTAGAAAAGAGGCATTTATTTGGTGGCAGACATGAGGCCTAACTTCACATTCAGGAAGTGACATTAGGTCTTAAAATTTTGGATTTCCACGTTTTCCGCATAGAACCCCGCCATGGCGGTTGAAGTGACGTCTCCGCAAGGAAGGCTCCCATTGAGCAATGCATTCCTCTTCCTATCGCTTAGTGTATTTCAAGCTTCCTGGAGGCATTCTCTCCTCAGAACTAGTCGAGATGGTTCGAGGAACTCAAGATAGGCCTATCGTGTCACGTCCGCACAGAAATGGTTCATGAAAATTGAGACAGGTCTCTGACTGTAACGTTACACGTCCTCTCTGGAATGGTTTCTGAGAGTGTGAATATGCCCACGATCGGCCTAACGTTACACGCCCTCAACGAGATGTGAAGATCATGGGATGAACCTTATAGACCTAATTGACCAAATAAGTCCAAGATTGAGTTTCTTTCGAACGAAAGAAGGTAGGCCCAGCCCTAAGACTAAGTTAATGAATCCCGTAGAGCGGCGGGGGGTTGAGGCCGAAGTTGGAAAAAGGTAAAGTCGTTGAAAAATGGTTTTCTCATTACTTCATTAGCAGTATATCTTCCAAACGTTTCATGCTTTACTTCAAACAGGTGTACCTCGCATCCAGTCTGCTTAGAGAATGTCTCCTTTCAGTTGAATCTTAGGATTTGACTTCAGCTCAAAGGGTAAGTCTTCAGTTGGGCTTTTCGTAGAAGTTATGAGTCACTCACGCCACCAATTCGAATTGTCTTTGAATTTCGCCCGATTTTCAAGAACACACGAGAGATTAATGGTGTTTTTTATGTTTACTGAATGCGAACTACGGATCCGCTAATCCCTCTTCGTAATCTCATTCCGGGCCTGTTTCAAGATGAAGATCTCGAATGTACACCAGGATATTGTAAATCAATCTGGCCTTCTGCTCGATAACTTCTGTCCATATTTTGCAGGTCCCAAGCCAGAACATTTTAGAATAGCGGAAATTAAAAATATATATATCGTTTTTGTAAGATCTGACAGTGCCGTTGACGCAGCAAGTGAGCTGAAGGTCATGAGGCTCATTCGAAATCAAAAGCGAAGTCTTGAAAAATGTCCTCTGATATTCAATTTCCAAGCAAAGGCAACATTCTGGAAAAGCTGGTAACCAAGTTACTGAACTCATATTCTTTCATATGTTTATCGTCCTCGTATGAGTTTCTATTTAAGGGCAAATAAACATTTAAAAGATCAGAGCGATTAACCCCTTTTGCTATTTATAAGTAGTAATTGAAATAACACTAACATTATTCCCTTTCCTTTCGAACCAGGAAGTGCATGAAGATTCAGCTTATACCAATCCAGAGGTGACGATCAAGATGTGCGAGCCGTATACGAATTGGAATACGATCAGAGAAAGCAAGTCTAAACTGAGGGATCAATACGGGCTGGAGGGTGATATGTTATTCACCAACTTAGTCTCCATGAATATATTCACCAATATGGAAGAGAAAGTCATCAGTAACATAAAGAATCAGCATGACCGCTTTGACGTGATCTTTCCTATCCTGTACAGCAAAGATCCTATGGCATACCTACCACTCTTCCTCGCCGCACTCAACAATGTAAACCCTAGAGCAGCAGATTACTTGCAGGGTCTTCTCCTTTCTCAGGACCGCACGTAGGTTTGCCAATTTTCGTGATACTGCAATTTAACTGACTTTATTCCTCGTCTCTCGGTTTCAGATCTTATGAATCCAAGTTCTTGCCAGCCAGTCCAGTCTTTCTCCCAGCCCTCGCCGCCACCAACAAGGTGCACAACATCTCAGTAGGCTAAAAAGAAATACCTGTGTGCGCTGAAAAATAAAATTGTGCTTAAAACTACAGCCTTAGGCTGGCTGAAACACTCGTTACAAGAATATTACGTTTTTTGGCATGATTATTTTTTGACGGAAGAAAGTTATCTTGCAGCTGTGATCTACTTCGAAATTTGTGAGTTTTTAGGACCTCCTCTGAAATGATGGATTATTTCCCCCTCACATTTTCGATAAGATCAGTACCGCTGCAGTGTCGCAACTCCGCCAGCCGATAATAGCACGCAAAATGGGGCGAATAAGAAACGTTGGAGACACTCAATGTCGTTTAAAATGATTTTTCTCGGTTTGAATCGTGCTGTTAATGATGATTTCAACGGTCCAGACTTTGTGGAATTTTTACCGGTTTCACGACCCACTATCTAAAGCAACATTTGAATGAACAAGGACATTTAAATCTTCTTTCCAGGACTCCCAAAAGTGCCACTCTGGATGACGTCAGACGGGTGAAAGACATATTGAATAACCCGAACACCATCGTCAATATCGACCACTTCCTCGACATTCTTTCAATGAAAAGGGTCTTGTCTGTAGTAGAAGAAAGAGAGATTAGGAGGCGATCTTCCTACAAGGGAAAGATAGATTCCTCGTTCGACATCCTCCTGGCACAGGACGCTGCGGAGATGTATGAGAAACTCATTGGAACCCTGAGGGAGATGGGCCGCAGTGACATCGTCGAGAAGATCCAGCAAACCTGATCAGATACTTTAAACTGTAAACTCACCATTCCAGGCGAGTCTTGGTGGCTGGTGACTTATATTTGTCAGTACTGTCTCACATTGGCTTGATAAAAACGTAATATTCGTCTTGAAACGACCGATTCCTTATTTCACTTCAGGAGACATATTATGAACGTTTTAAATATCAACAAGATGCTCCAGGTAAGCTGTTTTTACAGTGTTTTTCACCTCAGTTAGACAATTTTTCACTTGATTAAGACACCGATGCGAGGGGTATTCAGAGAGGAGGCGAGGGCGCAGGTGCCCCTGGTGACTAGCGACATCTTTCTCTTCCAATATTTAGGCTTTTTCATACGAATCAAACTGTGTCCTGGATACGATGAACCGCAGGCATAGCAATGTTGTCAACGGGAGACCCTCCTTGCAGTCTTTTTAAATAAAAAGGCTCTAAGTTTTCAATTTCCTATCGGCTCAACGGTGTAGAAACACTGGATCGGACTTCGATGGACGATCCCAGATCCACGTTAGATAGGCCTAATCTAGCCCACGTGAGTTCGGCGTGGGGAATGGTACTTCGGAACCAACGAACGATGCCCAATACTTCACCTGTTTCATTGAAATATTAAGGAAAACAGTAATGGGTGATACGAAAGCCTAATTTTCTCACTACGACCTTAAATTATCATTTCAATATATTGTGTATTTGGGAAGGTTCATATTTATTTTCCTCTCTTCAGTCATCACGAACATCACATCTGCACTTAATGGAACCCCTAGATTCTGCGTCGATCCACTATATCACCCTCACCATGCACTGTTGTCGAAGTCAAGTGAAAAAATGTCTAACTCGAGTGAAAAACACTGTACTGTAGAAGAGTAACAATGCTCGCAGATTTAATTCCCAGTGTTTCATCTTCAGACAAAGGAAAAGCTTGCTTCCATTCATTTAGGTTACAATCCATTCCTAAAACCAAGAAAAAGCATTTAATGAATTGAGTTTGGATACATTCCTAGCCTTAGTGTTCTTGGGATCACGCCAGAAGTTGCATAGTGAATTAAATTATGCGGCGATCGCAGTGGCCCCATGGTGCCGCAGCACCTCAACGTGCAACGTTGTCTTGCTCTGCAGGTTTCTAGAATCTCTAATCTATGGAAGAGCCTCAAGAGTTTCTGAGTTTTCCTCAAGTCATCCATTCCATTAGAGAGCTTAAGAAGAACGTTCCCAGGAGACTGGACTGCACAGTTTCATATATTTGTGTCATGAGTGTTGGATTCATCACATTTGAAGAGCTTCAGGAGTTGAGCGATAAAATATGACTGCATTGCACTTGTCGCACTTCTTTACCTGGAAAAATTGGAAATCCTTTTTAACAAATGGAATGANGAGTTCGTCGAGGCGTATTTTCCTTCGTCAGAAGGGAAATCGCCCAATTTGTTCCCTCAAGAACCAGTCTAGGTTCCAGGAAGGATTTTCCTCGTACTCCCTATGAGCAAGAGCCAGGGAAATAAATTATGGAACTTTCATCCCTAATAGGCTTAAAGGCGAATGCAAGTCCTGCATGCTGCTTTGGGGCGATAATCGGGAGAATGCAGTATCTTCCTACAGAAACCATAGGATTTTAAAATGCATTCTAGTTGTCGCTAGTTCCGTTCGATCGATGGCCGGGGGAGGGAGGTCCAGGAAGGAACTTCAGGTAAGGAGGGATGCACCACGGAAACGGTGGATTCTATTGATTCCTCACGGTAGGTGACTCATGAGGGTGAGGGTGGAAAAAGGGATGGTGAAGGAGGACGGAGGAGGATGTAAAACTATCAGGGGTTTCCTCATCTCGTACTTAAAAAACTTAGTATTACCAAGGGACTGTGCATGCCTCTGCTTAAGGCCACGAGAGCAAGCTACTAACACGGCTGCTTGAGGAAGTGTCATCCAAATGAGTCGGAATGAGGGCTGCGGGAATTGTTCAGCTTAGTGCAGAATCGGATTCCCGGCCTGTTTCTCGATAAAACAGTGGAAGAGCTGAAATACTAAGGCCCGAATGCACAAACCTCAAAGGGAGATAAAGGGGCAATTAAGCTAAATAACTCTTTTTCCTCCACAGTATTTCATGTATTCTTAAAGGACCGTTAACTAAAGGAGGTTTCAGCATTCGAGCCTCAGCATTCCTCCCCCCCCCCCTCCCCTCCCCTCATGTAGCCAGCGTTCTCATGCCTCAATGAGTTCGGCATCACCTTATTTCTTGCAACTTCGAATGTGTTTTTCAGGGAATTTCGAATAGTTCGTGGGGAATGTGGAACGACGATAGGTGCGGATCGAGGAGCG